CGGAGCCCTTGTGTTCTTCAAGCGTGACTTGGCAAGTCTTGGTATTAAGATCCCACACTTTGATTGTGTTGTCGACGCTAGCTGAGGCCAAGGTGTTCGCATTTATTCTGCAGAGGGCTCTTACAGAGAACCGGTGTCCTTCAAGCGTGACTTGGCAAGTCTTGGACCTAAGATCCCACACTTTGATTGTGTTGTCGTGACTTCCTGAGGCCAAGGTGTTCGCATCTATTCTGCAGAGCGCTGTTGCAGGTTGGTTGTGGCCGGCCAGGTCGCTGTTCTGCATCTCCTGAGAAGAGCTGGGAGGGGAGGGGGGGTGCGGGGGGGGGGTTGGGGGTTCCCGCATTTTTCAGTCGCACCGCGCCGATTTTTTTGAGGGAACACAACCGTGAAAAGCAAACTTGGACGGCAATTCAACAAAATGGAGGGACACGGCAACACTGTGACCACAAGGCACTGCAGGGATCTGCTTAAAGTTGTAACATCGTGTTCTGACCCTGTGCGAGGCTTCCGCTTCTCCGCTTCTCCGCCTTCAACTGTGAACCTGCCAACCCCCAACGCAAGGAACTCCAGAACTGCAGAGACCTTTGAAGGGCCTCCACGAACGTACCGGTTAAAGCCCAGCTCGATCAAAAAGAGCAAACTGTAAACACTCTGAAGCGGAAGAAACCGTCATGAGCAAGGGCTTCGTCAGTGAGCCGATAACCAAGAGTCGCGGATGATATCTGGCACGGCGATGGACTGCAATGTGAGGTTTTAGGAGGTTTGAGTTGGACGTCATAGGAACAGTCAAGCCGCCAAGCCCTACACAAGCAGAGCTACAGTTTGAGAAGTTCGGAGAATGGGACCTCAAGCCAGTTAGGAGATTCAAGTTACGTCTGAAGACAAGTCCAGAGCTTCATGGCAGCACAACTAAGAGAAGTTTCGATCACTACTCTTGGAGGTGACAGAGCAAAGAGACGAGATGCCTCCGGTCAGCCTTCCCCACGTTGGGTCAGGACTATCTCAAGCTGACCTCCTCGCACAAAGGCACGGTCAAACAGAACTGTCTCAAGCGCCCGGCGTCACGCAAGGGCACGGTCAAGCAGGACTCTCGCAAGTTCACAGGCGCAGTCAAACCAAACTACCAGTTCCAGGCAAGAAAACCAGATTGACAGGAGTGGCTGAAAAGTGATCGTGGTGATGGGAGACTTGAGCGACACCTCGGCAGAATATGGCGGAATGGTGAAAGCAAGTTGATGAAACTGCAGAGGGCCACTACCCGAAGTCAGCGCGGGCTCTTAAGAACGGTGTGTCGTTGGCGTTCACAACGGAAGTGAAAACGGAGAACACGAGGAAGGCCACTTCTATGCCGATAGCGAATACACTTACGATGTACCGCATGTACCGCCCAGGGGGGGAAACAGAGAACCTGAGACCGTTGACTTTGCCAGAGAGCGGGAACTTTTCACAGGAGGCAAGCGGAGCCACTGAGGAAACAGGCACGATATTCTTCCAGGTCAATTAAAGGACTTGACGGTCTCAAAGCCTGATCCAACTCTGATGCGCAAGGGACTTGCAGGCGTTGCAGAGCATGCGCTCGGGAAGTACCCGGCGGTCTGAAAGGAGTTGCTGGCAGCATCCACGTCTTCGTCGGAGGGAGGTGGAGAGAAGCCTGTAGCGAAGGCCAGTAGTGTCACCACGTCCTCAACTACGTCGACAACAAGGCCCAACACAACAACGTCATACAACGTGGCTCAAGTCGTATGTTCAGATGTTGCAAGTGGGTGCATGACTGGGGAGCTACACCGAGGAAGGAAAGATGTATGGCGTCCTCCGGAAAGGGCCACATGGGCCACTATTCGAAGGAGGGCAAAGACTACGCCGGCTCAATTAGAATGATGAGCCAATGGCAGAAGGCGGTCGACACCGAGCCTCACCTACACTATCACCTACACTATCACCTCACCCGAAGGAAAAGATACCAAGCAGAGGGAGATGTTGAATCGATCAAGGCATTGATGGCGGCGGGCCCAACTACAAGTCAACCTTCTACAAGTCAACCTTCGACAGCTCTACGGCAGATTCACAAGGGTTGAGGAGCTTTCAGAACCGAGACCCCTGGTTCTTAGATTCGGCTTGCAGGAGACCGAAAGGAGCTCACCCAGAACGATGGTGGGACGATCCTCGTGCAGAAACGGAAGTTCAAACGATCATTCGGATGAGTTGGCCTGTCAAAAGGTGGAGGCGCTAGTGGTGGTGCGAGGGTTCGCCGCAGGAAAATATTGCAGGCTGAAACGGAAGTCGACGGAAAATGCAGGCCGTGCAGGCCGGGGGCAATCCCGGAATAAAGCTTCCATATGCTCTCGCCCTCTCACAAGAACGCTCTCCATTGCCGACTCTTTCTCATGGGAAGTTTATATCTCACAAGAGCCGTTGCATCGACAGTCCCGGCAACTTAGGCTTTTGACTTGAGGAGCTTCTAAAGATTCTAGGCCCACAAATCGCAGCCTCAAGGCTGAGAGTAACAGATGAACAGCCACAATCTCGACAGCTTGGTCTGTGATGTCTGTGATCAAAGCACCCCGACATGTCCATGGAAGTTGCCACTGCACGCTTTAGCTCCGAAGCGCCCCATGTGCTATCACCCACGCAAGAGCAGAAGAGCAGGCCCCGTCCTCTGCATACGGCACCTGTCTCAGGGCGCTTCCCTACACTACCAGAACTGTGAAGCTTCCATGGAAAGCCTCTATAGCGCCGAACACTCGACCTAGTACTGCGCTGGATAGGACGTTTTAACCTGGATTGGCAGCAAACCTGGACACCACGGCACCAGAGCATCCAAAATGCACGGGGTTGTAACTTGCCCCTGCGTACACGAAGATACCACCCCAATCTAGAACCAGGGCACGCAACAATGTAAGTTATAGGCTGCGAAGAGTTTTGAAGGGTTGAAAAGGGCGCCTGCTTTTATTTCGCTTGGTTCAAAGTTGCCGTGTTACAGGGTCTTACAAGAGGAAAGGGGTCTAATAGAGGTGCCGTTGAGAAGGGTCTGGGAAGGGCTTCAGAAGTTCCAACTTGCCGCTGTCTTTTGGTATCGAAGAACTCTTAGAAGGGTTGAAGAGGGCGCCTGCATGATCTGGTTCAGTTCCAAAGGGCTTTGAAGGGGTTTTTGGAGGGGTTTGAGGCTCTGGCATATGCGGGCTCGATATTGGAGCCAACTTGCCGTTTGGAAGGTCTTAGGAAGAAGTTTCTAAAGGCGTCGCTGGCATACTTTGACTTTGGCTCCGTGTCGGTCAAAACTTGCCGGTTTCCAGGTTCTTGCATATTGAGAAGGAGTTTCTCAGACACAAGGCTCTAACATACACGGGGTGCTATAACTTGCCCCCGAGTCCAGTTTGGCTTTGCCTGTACCAAATTAAGCCCCCAAAGTATGCTCCGACACGAACATACCCCTAGACCACCGAAAACCCCCCCCTTAAAACCGCTTAAATCCCTATGAGAACCCCTTTAGACGGCGCCTTAGAAGTGGGTTTAGGGGAGAAAAAAGGCGAGAGGTACAAGGGCGTTTCAAAGGGGTTTGAGGGGAGTAGGTTTAGAGGCTGGGACTCTGGCTCAGAGTCGTACCTTTTTTGGTTCGAGCTTGGCTGTTCTGCTTCCAACCGTATCAACTTTCGTTGGAGGCTCTCAAAAGATGTTTTGGAGCAAGAAACGGAAACTGGACGGCGGGCCAGTTGAGCTGGCACTAACCTGGGCCCATTTTGCTCCCTGGGTGGAGATCTGGAAGTCTGAACCTCTGGAAGATTCTGCTCGATGTGCTAGATGGGCTTGCACGGCCGCGCGTACTGCGAATCATCGCGTTCAGTGCATTGCCCAGTTGCGAACAACGCCGGACACAGGCAGGCGCTCAATTTCGTGCTCGCTGAATCACTCGGGCGATGCAGTTTCAGCTCATTCCTTTGAATCCAGAAGATAATCGTCACTGGGCACTTTTCTGTCAGCGGCGACTGTGTCACGAAAGGAGGTCCAAGCATAATTTGGGCACACCATGCACGCATTGCCTTTGGGGACGAGAAACAACTCCCAAACACAGCGATTCTTCTTGTCAGCAGCACATGTGCATGTAGGACTTGACCCTGCATCGGAAATGGTGCTGTGCCCCGAAACAGATGCAGGGAAGCACTACGATGCTCCATATCTCCTCTTGCCACTTTCACACTTTCACTAGCAAGACTTCCAGACTTCCTAATCTTCCAAAAAGCAGCGCTCCAGGAACCAGAACAAAGAACGGCGACAGCAACCACATCACCACATCATACCACATCAACGACCAACACTCGCGGAACGTCAACCAGTGCCTGGTCAGGCATGTCGACTTGCTGGTAGGTCTCGAGATCCTTCAGAGGCAACCCACGACCCTTCTGACCCTTCTCTCCGCATAACTTCTTGGAGTGCGTACCCCCCCGCCTTATGACCATCACCAAGCTTATTGCAACCGAGCCAAAGGTTGCGTAAGGGCGTCTTCTCCAGCATTCGGGCCAACGCCTCGCGGGAACTTCCGAACCCACAAAGGGCTCTGCGTCTCCCCGCTACGAAGGCGACGCTAAAGCCTCAACTTCCATGTGCGGTAGGGGACCATTAGGACATGAATTGCGCCAGGGACCACTGAATGCGAAAGCGACCTTCCGATGTTCCAAGGAGTGCAGTGGGGAGCTGAGAGGCACACAAGGAGGCACTGAGCCAGGACACACGAACTTCTGAAAATGAGCTGTCCGGGGTTCCCATCTAGCTCAAAATGTTGAAGGCACCCCGCAGCAAGAACCCGGAAACAAAAATAACAACAACAACTCACAGGGCATCGAACGAGTTTCCATGAAGCCTTCCCAAAGACCTGCCCGGCTACGTCCGAAGCCAAAGAGGGCAACTCGAAGATGCACGTCTCCAGAGCGATAGTCAGCAAGCATCCACAATCGCTGTGTCCGTGCTATGTCCTTTTTCTGCTTATGTTAGGACAGCAGGCAACGTCACTTCGCCTCGACACCATGGTCGGTGATGTCGTTGAACTCTAGGCCAAGGTTCTCAAAGTCGGACTTGCTCTCAACGCACTTGGCAATGGCCTGTTGCAAGAAGCATGCTCATGATCTTCGTGCTCAAGTGGTGTTGGCATCCTCCAGAACAAGATGCTGCTTTATCAGACTTTGAGGTCACCGCGTCACTTCCCTCATCTCCGATCCCATTGCCCGAGACGTCCAGGCGCTTGAGGCTGCTCTGCGTGAGCATACGGCAGATTGCCTGTGCCAAGCTCATTTCCAACTGCGCTCTGGTATACTCTAAGTGGATGTTGTAACTTGTACATAACTAGACTCACTAGACTCCGAGAGACCCGCCACTGACAACTCCGCCAAATGCTGCGTCTGACTTTGTTCGATGACTCGATGACTGGACTCGGCGCCGCCCCGTGCGGGGGGCTTAGGGGTGCATGACCGACGTGTTCAAGCACAGCGTTCTTGCGTTCGGACCCCTGGCCACCGCAGAGCACGCTGTCAAACGCAAGCTGGGGGAGCGCTCAGCGAGGCCCTAGCTTTCGTTCTGCTGTCTTCCGGCTGCACTTCGGTTTGAGTTCTTTGGACGCCGGAAGCCTCTCCTGAGGAGGGCGAGGCCTTGGGGCCCTGGATGAGAAACCCCTGCAGGACTCCTGCGGGGAGGGAGGGAGGGGGAGGGAGGGGGGGGAGGGAGAGAAGGGGGGAGGGGAGGGGGGAGGAGAGGGGGGAAGAGAGGGGGGAGGGGAGGGGAGGGGGAAGGCTGAGGGTAGATGGTGACAATCACAAGTGGCATGGCCTTCGCTGCCACGGGACCTCTGAACATGAGACCACAGTGAAAGGCCGTGTCATGTAACTGACAAGGACGCCACCAGATGCTCCCTTCGTTTGGCCTTGGCCCCATCTGGCCCGATGGAGTTGTTGCTTACGTTGAAGTCTTTCAGGGAGCCGCACTTCTCGAGGACAGCGCACAGCGCCTGACAGTCGCGAGTCACACGGCCTTCGCTGCAACGGCACCTCTGAACATGAGACCACCGTGAAAAATTACCGTGAAAGGCCCTGCTAGATAAGCGGACAAGCACGCCAGCAGATGCTCCCTTCATCTTGCCTTGGCCCCATCTGGCCCGATGGAATTGTTGCTTGCATTCCCGTGGCTGACATCGTGCAGGCAGGTGCACTTCTCGAGTACGGCGCAGAGCGTGACAGTCACAAGTGCCCCGGCCCTGCAATGGGACCTCTGAATTTCTGGGCAAGAAGGCGGCTCGTGTCGCCTCGCCTTCATGTGCTCATCCCGGAGGCTGTTGCTGCTGATGTTCAACTCGGTGAAGGTTCCCTTCTCGAGCACTGTGCACAGAGCCTGGCACCACTGACATGGCCACATGGCCTTCCCCAAACGCCAAGTCGCCAAATCGCGACAGGTAACCTAGAACCCTTGTGAACATCGAAACTTGTGACACTCAAACCCCAAAGACGGCATTGGCGTCCAAATCCCACGCCCCCCTGGCACCTGGACAAGCCCTGATGCTCCAATGCCCAAACCCTGGAGGTCTCCGGAGATGTCCATCTTCTCAAAGTCCAGGGCAACATCCTGGAGGCAACTTCACGCATGGTTTGCACGAGGCGTTTACAGGCAGCACTTGCACAAAGGAAGCCAGCCCTCACAGCTTCTCTGAGATTCACACAGGTTCACACGACGTCAAACAGTCAAACGACTGGATCCTAACTCCACCTCGCATAGGTCCCACAGTGGTTACAGGGGATTCGGAGAGCAATTGAGGTAAGGCTCGTCCGGAGCCACGGCGGCCTTCCATACTCCAAGCAGCGTCTTGGAAAGTCGCGTCAGGGCCTCAGGGAAGAGCTTCCACGGAGTCTGAGACTGCTTTGGATGCATTTGATCTGGACGACTCGCAAAGAAAGACGCCCCTGTAGAAACCCGACTGCAGCCTCTCAAATTCGCCTGGCTTCCTGCCCAGAAGCGTTTGGAACAAGCAGACCCGGATCAGCCCCCCCCCCCCGCCCTGTGGGACCCCCCCCAATCGCATGGAGGCGCTGCAAACCGATGCTGTGGGGGGTTCCCGTCTGTCGGCGGCTTCTACAGAGGCGGCTCCCTCTTTTTCTGGCAGCTTTCGGGACCCCCCCTGAAACGCCCCCTGAACCTCCCTGTTACCCCCCTTGACCATTCAAACCCTCTTTCCTCCTTTCCTGTCCTGGGGCCCGCCCGACTGCCGAGGCAGCGCGCGCAAGCGTTTACAAAAGAATGTTCATAACAAACGCCGCCGCCCTGCCACCCAGGCCTCGGGGTCGCGTGCAGGATGCATCCAGGGAAGGGATCTGTGAAACCTGGGACGAAATCTGTCACCCCCTGACCCGTCCTGCGCACAGCAGGCCAGAGGTCCACGTGTGTGTATGGTTTTCGGGTTTGGGGGGGTTTTGTAAGGGAACTGCTGAACTGCTGAGTCGGGAAACCCGAACCGGCCAAACAAAAGGCAAGATAGTGCAACCCGGACTCAAGCCCTCGTCATTCTCAAAGTCGGCCTGGCAAGCCACACGCTTTCGAAGTTCAGCAGAATGGGCCGTCCTACATCGTCCTACATCCTACATGAGATGACCGTAGCACTGCAGTTGGGAAGCTGCACAAGTGTCCGGAAGGCAACACTTGGGTCCAAAGAGCTTTCGGATGGTTTTGAGGGTCCAGCTTCGGAGATTGCGAGACTTCAGGCCCCCGAGACTTAGGGATTCAGCCTGATTCAGCGCCCCAGAGCTGCGGCTCAGCAAAACCCGGCTCCAACCTCCAGTCGCCATGAACCTCCCCTCACAAACCCCCCAAAACCCCCCAAAACAACCCTATAAAGGCCCTCTCAGCCCCCTAAACACCTCGAAACCTTCTCGCCCTCCTGCCGGCCTCGCGCCAGATGCGGCGGGCCAGAAGCTCGTCTCCGGACCTGAGCACGGTTGGGAGGTTTAGGCCTAGGCGGTTTAGGCGGCTTAGGGTTGAGGGAGGTTTTGGGTTTCGGGTGTCGGCCGGGTTGCAGGTTTTTGGCTTGGAGGGATGTTGAGGCGTTTCTTGGCGGGACGGGGTTTGGGGCTTGGGGTTCATGCTTCAAGTTGGGGACTGGGTTTGGGGAGCCAAGGTCTCGGAATTTCATAGGGCAAAGGGTGTGCAAGCGAATCATTAGACCTCAAGACTTGCCCAGGGTCTTGGGGGTGAGCTGTGACCCCCTCCTGCTCAACTAGACACAAACGGGGGTTGCCCTTCGGCACAAACCCCAATACCAAACGGAGCCCGAGCGACGTGACCAGTGTCCGCAGCTTCCGGCCGTAGTAGCCGGCCACCTGGAACAAAACTCGAGGCTCCAGAAAGTTCAGATGGGGGGAGAACTTTCGGAGGGAACCCATATGAATCCACACTATTCTCTGCTATTCTTCAACCCTTTCAACCCTTTCAACCCTCTGCTCCCGGCACCTGCTCTCGAACGGGGTGATAAAGGACAAAGGTCAGTAGGACCTGCAGGGGTCTGGCATGGTCGCGCGTTGTGATCGGATTGGGGAGATGATGGAGATGAAAGGGCTCGAACGCCAAAGTTGGAAGAGCCGGAGGCTGGTCGTGAAGGGTTCTGCAAGCCAAGCTTCCCTTGCGACTTCGAGAGCCCTCCCAGATCCGCCTGCATGGCCGGGATGGCCAGACTGAGCACGGCGACCACGGTGGATCCGCCCTCGCGCCGCAGGTAGAACAGCGCACCGAGCGCTTGCGGCACGTTCTCCAGAAGTAAGAGAAACCTGGAAAGGTCGCGCGTGGCAGACCAAGCCCTCGACAGGCCAATGCATCAAGAAAAAACTGCTGACCGGGCGGGCTATGTACACATCTTTGCGAAACAGAACGCAACCTCTCAAATGCCCCCCCCCCCCCCACCTTTTCGTAGGAGTCAGCTGTTTGTACAGCAGAATCACCAGCTCTTCACCCGGCTTCACACTGTCTCCTCCGGGCTCACCCCCCATCACACTCAGAACATCCACAAAGTCTCCCAGCGCCTGCGTCAGGAGTGAGCAGGAGCACCGCCAGGTGTGAGCTCACCAGCTCCGCGATCAAATCCTGCGCGGGGCTCAAAATACCGCCGGCTTGCCGGGCTCTGGCCAAGTTCCCCCGTATGCCAAGGCCCTCTGCTCTGGGGCACGGTCCTCCACGAAGAAGCAGAAGACATGGATGATCACAAGGTAGGCCAAGCAGGCCACGCCCATGTTCTGGATCTCTTCCTTGTCGGACTGAAAGCAGATGAATGCGAACATGATGTCCTGCACAAAGCAGAAGATGCAGAAGGATGCAGAAGGATGATGTTGATCAGGGAGTTGCTGGGGAGCGACCGCACTCACCGCCCTCCGACACCCTCTTCTCGAAGTGCGGCTTGCTGCGAACCATGAGCTCAAGACCCGAGAGGGCTTTCGAATGGCGTTTGGGCTTCAGCTCCATTCAGCTTCCCCCCCTTCCCCCCCCCCTTCCCCCCCCCCACCGACCAGGCCTTGAAGGTGTCGTATTGGTCGGAAAGGATGGGCGCCATTCCTGCAACACAGGCCTGAGGCACGGAAAGGGCGCAGTGTCTGCGAAAGGCCCTCTTGTCTTGGGGGGAGTGATGGGGAGTGGGGCTGTGGTTTGGGCCGGGGGCCCCTAAGGCCTGGAGCTTGAATCATGTGGCTTGAAAATAGCTGAGTAGAAACTGCACATCCTCATCCGCCCAGCTCTGCAAGCCCGCACCTGCGCGAAGGCGGTGGTGCCGTACCGTTTGCCCGAAGGGAGGCGACGCGCCATCACGAGTGCTTGTAGGACCTGCAGCTCGGGGGCTTCTCGCGACGATGAAACCTTTTTGCATATTGAGAGCCTGGGCTGTCAATGCCATCCCAACAGTATGGCCGTGGATACTTAAGAGGGGTTGACTTGTCGAGTGGCGCTTGCCCGGCAAACTGAGTACTCGGAAAGGTGCGTCCCAACGTCTATCAGCTCCGACAGTAGTCCTATAGTCCCTTCTTGAGCTGCGCGTACCATGGCCAGCCCGTTGCACAGGAGCAAGCCGGCGTAGACCTTGGCGCGGGAGGAGATTCCAGAAGTTCGGGCGCGGGATCACAGGAGGGGTTTGCGATGTTGCGAGGCTTGGGAGTTTCGGAGTTGGCTCCAGGGGGCACTTGTCACCTCCGGAGTCTTCTGAGTCCACCGAGGCCCTCTTCAGGGTGCTACTGGCGTGAGGTGAGTGTGAGGTGAGCTTATGCAGGCCTTTGTGAGCCCGGTAACTTTGGGATCTGAAAAGGGAACTGATGGGAACAACGTACGGGGTGGGGGGGGATGAACTGTAGGCTGAGCTCCGGCCCCAAACCCCAAACCCAAAACCCTAGGAAACATCTATACCCTCACCCCCAAGGTGGTTTAGGGCTGCCAGGTCGCCTCCCAATCAACTCCAGTGTCTTTGGAGAGCCTCCCCGACGGCAGGGGGCTTGGGGCTTTGAGAGGCCGGATGAACTCAGGATGAGCTTCTCGGGCTCAGGAGCCGCAAGATGAGTAGCACTTAAGTCGGGCATTGAGGGGCTTTGGGGGGTGTCTGGGGTGTCTTTGGCGCAGGGGCAAAACGCCCCCAAAGAGAGGCAGCCACTCGGCCTGCCGCTCTGAAAGCTCCAGGCCAAGGCCGCAAAGCTCGCCGACATCGTGCAGGTCAGCGAGAGGCCCAGGAGAACCTGCAACTTTGGGAGCCCGGATGCGTTGGGAACTCTTTGGGGCGCAGCCTTCCGGACTCCGGTGATTCCCCCCTGGAACCCATGACCCGCAAGGAAAAAGAACTGAGGCGTAGTTTGAAAGAGCGGCTTCCCTAGAATGCGGGGGACTGTCCGCGAGAGTAAGTTCATGCTTGTACACACCAGAAGTCAAGGGCCACGTGGCAAGGTGGCATCTTACGCGACTGCGGCAACGAGAATGAGATAGCACGCTGCAACTTCTCTCCTCGTCACCAATGCCGGGTCCGGAGCCCACTACGGCGCTACGGAAGTCCTCCCTGAAAGAATGAGCCCTGTAAGCTCCAGCCTACAAGTTCTGCATCCGGGCCCTGGGCCCATGAAACCAAAGTCAGAGCCTCAAACCTCAAGCCTCAAACCCCCCACCCCCCCCCGCCACCCAGGATGCCCCAACAAGAGCTGTGAAGTGCGGGGCCCGGCGGCGCCATTGCACAGAGCGCCTATATCATGGGCTTATCATGGGCTTGTGAAACTGGGCTACCGGGGCCCAGAGAAGCCCAGGAAAGTCAGCATAAGACAGCGGCACTCAGGGGTTGGTGTTCCAACTTTACAAGGCAACATGCAACACCATCATGCACCCACCTTCAGCGTCGTCCCCTTGAAGGCGACAGGCCCGCCATCCAAGGTCGTGTAGCCTGAGAGTCGGAGTGATTCGGAGCTTAGGATTCCGGGGGCCTTGACCCGCTCCACTCCGAAGCCGTGGTAGCTTGACTTGAGTTGGCAAGAGCACCTTGTCAGTGCACACAGGCCAGACGTGACACAACACAGAAACTCAACTCTTCCAGAAGCTCTCCAAAGAGACTTGAAGCAAAGTTTCAAAGATCCACGGATTTAGCTCCGAATGAAACAACCACAGCCTGGGGTTTAAGTACCCCCCCCCACCCCCAGCCCTAAACATCCCTAAAAACTCCCGGGCTCCGCCTTGTCTCTGGGCGCACTTCAAGAGCGCGGTGCCGAGCGTCATGGTACCCGCAACGATGCAAAGCATCACGAAGACCCAGAAGTGCCATCTCAGAGCAGGGGTGGGTTTTTCCCTCCTCTTCTGGGTCATAGGATAGGGATTGTCATAGGGGTTGTCATAGGGATTGTCAAAGGGTGCTCGAAGGGTGCTCGAAGGGTGCTCAACCTGTGCCGGACTGGAACTCGGACCTTCAGAACCTTGGGTCAGGGCTTGGGGAAGTGTAGGGGTTTAGGAAAAGACCTCTCCCGCAAACCTCACTTCTGCATGTCCAGGGCCTGGCCGTGGTCTCCTCGGCGTCCATCTCCTGTAGCTCCGACACTGTGGGCAAGAACGGCTCCTCCACGAACTCGACGTTCCACCCTGCGCAGCTCTGGCGGCTTCTGGCGGCTTCTGGTGGCTTCTCTGGGCTTCTCTGGCGTCCCAGCCTGCGAGGTCTGGAAGCACAAGGCCCCCCGCCAGCTCACCAACAGCGAGCAACGCGAGCTTCATCGCAATCGCTCTCGAAGAAAAGGGGGGGCGCTGAGAGCACCAGAAACCCAAGAACCGACACGCCAAGCGGACTCCGGATCCGGAATGCAGGCTAATTTTACCCGATTCACTGCAACTGTGACTGCGATGGCTTCACCATCACCCTTCGACATGCTGGAATACTAGGGGTTCCCCTTGGCACAGATCCCGCAAGATTACCACAAGTATGGGGCCCTACAGCCGGCAGCCCTACTATGCCCTGCTATGCCCTACGATGCCCTACTATGCCCTATGGACATGCAGACTTGCGTCCGGACTAGAGTCAGTCGGCTGCGATTTGCAAGCGGAAGCCGGATGAGAGTCAAGAAGCCAAAGCGACATGAAAGCCCTAATTACAAGGTTTAGGGTTTAGGGTTTAGGGTTTAGGGTTTAGGGTTTAGGGTTTGGGTTTAGGGTTTAGGGTTTAGGGTTTAGGGTTTAGGGTTTAGGGTTTAGGGTTTGGGGTTTAGGGTTTAGGGTTTAGGGTTTAGGGTTTAGGGTTTAGGGTTTAGGGTTGACTTTTGGAGGCTGTGCCGTAAACTTCTATACCAAACGAGTGCACATCCCAAACACACTCATTCATGGCAACTTATATATATATATGTATGTATATTCTTTCGAAGCCAATGGAGGAAACCTCCAAAGTTCAAATAACTTAAAGCGATATTAAACGCCTTTGTGGCCGCCTCTCCGGCAACAACTTTGTGCATGTCCACCGGTTTTGTTTAAACCCTAAGCCCTAAGCCCTGAATCTTCTTACCGTTCAGCTTTGCTTGGATCCTAAACCCTAAACCCTAAACCCTAAACCCTAAACCCTAAACCCTAAACCCTAAAGACTCAGATGGCGGTTGTTTGGAGTACTCAACTTCGGAGTGTTCTTGCGCTCTTGGAGTCATTGTGGGGTTCGCGAGTGCTACCACATGAGACCCTAACATAAACGGCATCCCAACCCCAGGTGCATGGGAAGGCTCTTCCAAGAGCTTGAGTTTTTGGTCTTCAGGGTTTTTGGGTTTCGGGGTTTTGGGGTTTTAGGGTCTGCTTGAAGATAGATCTACACACTTCCCAAACCCCGAGTCGAGATTCAAGGCTTTTTTTGTCCTGCAGCCTCTTCAGTATCCTTACTGGTTCTTAGTAGGGAATCCCTTAAAGGTATATGTATATATATATATATATACATATGTACATATATATATATATATATATACATAGGGGGATATAAAGTACCCCATTCCCTCGTACTAAGAACCAGGCAGTATCTCATCTTGGAGGCGTCAGACAACTCTGCCAGCAAAAGGCCTCAGAACTTTCCAAACTCCAGACCGCTAAGTCATACACTCCCCCCACACCCCTGTGTCCCCCTAAAGCTCCTGTGTCTCCCCAAATCCCAAACCCTAAACCCTGAAACCCCTAAAATGCCTAAAGCCTGAAAACCCTAAAACCCCTAAACTCCCCTGAAAACCCTAAACTACCAACCGCAGAATCAATGAGACGCGCCCTAGACCCTAAACCCTAGATCCCAAACCCTAAACCCTAAACCCTAAACCCTAAACCATAAACCCTAAACCTTAAACCCTAAACCCTAAACCCTAAACCCTATACCCTCCTTTGGGAGGCGCCAAGTTGCCAAGCTGGCAGTTGGTGGCTCCGTGCCTGAGGGCTCAACTTGGGGTTTAGGGTTTAGGGTTTAGGGTTTAAGGTTTAGGGTTTAGGGTTTAGGGTTTAGGGTTTAGGGTTTAGGGTTTAGGGTTGAGGGGTTTAGGGGTTTAGGGGTTTAGGGGTTTAGGGGTTTAGGGGTTTAGGGGTTTAGGGGTTTAGGGGTTTAGGGGTTTAGGGGTTTGGGGTTTAGGGATTTAGGGGTTTAGGGGTTTAGGGGTTTAGGGTCCTCATGCATGACTGGGGATCCTACGAGGCGGAGGCCACAGCATGAAGCTCCCAAAGCGAGTTCCTCGTGCGAGGCGCGAACACCCACGTGAACACGGAAGACTCCCTGGTGCTTCGTAGGGAATGAGGGAATGAGGAACTTTCTATCCCCCTATATATACCCTTGTACACCCTGGAATCCTGCTAAGAACCAGTAAGGACGCATTTTTGGGGCCCTTATAGGGGATTATATAGGGACTACGATAGGGATCCACTTCCCCATTCCCTACGAAGCACCAGGTAGAAGAAGCTGAGGCGCCGGCGCCAAAGTATGGTGAGACAAAGCCCAAGTTGGCCTTGACAACCTTCAACTGGTTGAAAAATCGCGGCATTTCCATTGTTCTACCCACAATTCGATTTGTCTACCCACAATTCTTTACATATAACGGCAAGCAAGATCGACTAGTCGATGCTGTCGGATCTGAAGCTTCGTTTGACCATGATTCAGTCTCGACAACTTTGCTTAGATATCTCTGCGAGGATTCGTGTCTCGCCTTTTCAACCTTGATCGGATTACCTTTTGAACGTCCAAATCGGAGGTCTTTGTAAAAGCTTGTGTGGATCTGCAGCGAGCCCTTGCAGTCTTGGTCTTGAGATCCCACACTTTGCTTGTGTCGTCAGAACTTCCAGAGGCCAAGGTGTTTTCATCTATTCTGCAAAGGGCAAGTACGAAACTCTTGTGTCCTGAAGTCGTCGCCGCTGGCTGAGGCCAAGGTATTCGCATTGTGAAAACTGGCTGTTTTCCCGTCTGAGCCTTGGCTCCAAAAAGGGCCCCTGCGGCAAGTCGGTGCAGTCGATTGAAGTCAACACGCAGACTTAGACTGTACACAAGTACTGGTGTTTTACCTAGCAGGCTTCGTACGCGCTGGTCTACGAGCACTATTTCACACCCGTGACTCTTCTGGCGTAGAAGCCTGGCCTGTACAAAGGTCCAAGCGAAGAGTGGATTTGATTTATCCCTTCTGACCCGTTCTTAGGGTCTGCAGTCTTCCTTCTTTGAAGCTGCTTAGCCCTTTTCTTGTTTACGGACTCAATTGGCTGTTCGACATTCAAACAGTTAGTGAACAAACGCTCAACTAACTTGGTGCTCTCCATGACCTTCGTCAATGAATGGATCAGAAATCATGACGTCTGTGTCGATCCAGCGAACTTCGTCCGTTGGCTCCTTGGTCGGTCGTCCTGATAATAAGGATCGCCGTATTGTTCTCCCTTGGCTCACCATAGGGATTCTCGCATTGACGCGATCTCTATAGAGAGTCGCTTATCTTCAGGCTTACTCATCTTTGGGTTTCGGAGCGTGTCGCTAAGACTACGACTGTCCGTAACCATACTTGCCTCATAAAGGCCGCAGAAGATGCTTCCCACTTCTTGCGGTCTAACTTGCCGAAAAGATCTGCGACAGCAGCTCGCAGTCTAACACCTTCTTCTATCCCTGCCAGGCATAACTGATGAGACGCATGTGCCCTTCATCAGATGACATTAAGCTAGGAGTTCCAAGAGCATTCAACCTAGCTCCCTGACTTCGGTAAAGTTCAACAGAATCTTCACCTTTGACCTTCATAACTTCGCTCTCATTTGCATGACAAGCGTCAGTAATGACGCACGAGATAAGGTCATCCCAGTCCAGAACGTTTGCTCTGAAGCCTCTATCTGGCGTCGCCAACACATAGTCGACAGCCTTATTCGCCTCACGAAGGTCTGCCACAACTGCTCCTGCACTTGCGGACTGCATTCGACTAACACGCTATGCCAAGTCCGGACGGCATTGTCTAGCCACCCATGAAAGACTACCTGCTATACACTTCAGCTGTAGCTTGTCCTTGTCGGTCAAGGGCTCACCGGCTTTTCGTTTAGGAGCAACGAAAATCCTCCTAACTTTCAACGTCGTCTCCTTGCATGTGACAGTGACGGTGAAATCATCTGCCTGAGAAATTTCTTTCCAGCAGTAGCGGACAGTTCCCCGCTCTACCTTACCGCACCAAACTCCTTCAGCAAGTCCTCGATGATAGGCTCTGCTTCGGGCTCAGCCGCCCATAGCAGATCATCTACGCGTGTGCAAAGTAGCGCAATAATACATCCCTCTTTATTGCGAAGAACATAAAGTGCCTTGAAGACTGCGTTTTCTCCAAAACCTCACTTCTGTGCACTATTCTTGAGACGTTTCCAAAACTTTCGTCCCCCATCGCGAGTCCCATAAACGGGTACTCTCGCCAAATATCTGCGCTCCGGAGGCTCCCTAGGAAGTCCCCCTTTTGGTTGTTTGAGGATTAGTACTCTGTCTAATTCCTCTCCCTGAAAGTAAGCGTTCGTGATGTCGGCTGCACCGATCTTCACGTTTCTCGACGCGGCAAAGCTGAATATTTCATTTTGTGCCTCTATGTCTGCCGTCGGGGAATCCGATCGGATATCTCCAGACTCTAAGTCACCTCGGGTGACAAGCCGACTCTTGCGCTCCATTTCGATGTCTGGCTTGGTCCCCCTAAGAACGTCGTTCTTATCAGTGTCTACCCACTTGAGCGGTACTTCTTCATGCCCTTCGGCCTTGAGCTTTTGGTATTGTTCTTCGGTGAGATCTAGCGCGGCATTAAACTGCCTCCACTTCCCCCATTCTGTCTCACGGGATCCATCGATTCCCTTCTGAAGCGGGATCCATCGATTCCCTTCTGAAGCTCTGGGGTACACTTTTCATATGTGAATACCTCATTTAGGGCAGCTTTCTTTTCGTTAGAATAGCTGCTTCTTTTCGTCAACCACTTTCTGGCACTCTCGGTCTCCATGCGTTCGGAAATGAAAGTTCGATACTCATTACAAGCTTTGGACCCATACTCGGGAATGTTAAACTGCGCTAATCAGATGAGTCCTGTTCTTCGGGCACCGGAACATCCGTCGCCTCCAACTGTGGATTGTTCTCGCCCATCTCTTGCGCTGTAGCTGTTCCTTCGCGCTGAGTGTCCTCCATTTCAGGTTCTTCAACTGTGGGCCCTGCACGGGGCTCTGCCCGTGACTCTTCACGAGTAAGTCCCACGCTGCGCCGAACTGTTCTCAATCCCTGCGTAGGATTTGAGCGCACTGCAGAAGACGGACGTCCGTCACTGTCTTCTTCATCATCTGCGTCACGTGCCTTCTGCCATCGACAAAACGTTGTTGCTCTCTCTCAGATTCCATGTGGTACTGTAGACTTCTTTTGCTAAGGATTTGATACGCTAGAACCTCCGCCGACGTACATGGTCGGAGTTTGCCCAGACTCGTTGCTACGGGCACACCTTTGCGCGTTACCCCCACTGTCTTTGCATTAAAACCGATGATACGGGAAACACCACGCCAGCTGGGCACACCGTTTGAATCTCTTTCAATACGGTAGCACACTAAGTCTCCTTCCTGAAGCGGTCCCGCCTTACGCAGTACGGCGGCTCTTGCTCGCCTTGACGTATCTGCGTGAACATAGGCTTTCCTCGCAGTATTGCGACACTCTATGCTCCTTCCAAATGCAGTGGACGGATCCATTACACCACTGAGTACGCCAAGTTGGCTTAGCTCATCTTCGTCTAAAAGACGTCCGACACCCCTAGGCTGTCTACCGAGCACCCACAGCGACGGGGAGAATCCTCCGTGCCGAAAAAACTCGTTTTTCGTGACTTGACACTCGGTCATAGCCGCTTTCACTTGCTGCTTACCTTGAAGGTTGTGAAGTTTACAAACTCTTTTAATAATCCCTCCATGTCTTTCGCATCTCCCTATATGCTCAGGGCTTTCAAGCCCGGCTTGTCTTAAGACAACACCATGCTGCGAGAGGCCAGTTGCGAAAGCACCACGGTTTCGCAGACCCCGATCTGTTGATACAGATTCGGGCCATCCTGCCCACTGTACCCAATGCCTTTGAAACTTCTTAAGACACCGAGCACTCGTTGGCTGCCCCTCTCCTACTCGCACTAGGGCAACGACTTGACAACAAACGCCTACACAGATCATGTTGAGGAATTGGTATTTGTTTCTGTCCGAGTCCTGAACTTCGAACACATCAATTGAGACTTCCTTGTTGAAAACATAGGAAGGAGGCGAGATTGGATGGGGCTTCGGAGTCTCCTGCAAAACTGCACACGCAGGACACCTGAATGCCTTTGCTGCGCTAATCATCTCTTCCGAAGCTCCCGAACCTCTCAAAACTTGCAACAGAACTTCCTTAGGCTTGTGACATCATGTTGTGAAGTCGCCTAATAGCGATCCTCACCTTCCTGGGAACCTTAGCCCACTCTCTACGTCTTTCGGCTTCGTCCTCAGCGAAACCAGCGAGGGTACAGTTTCCAGCATGTCATCTTCCTGATCAGGGGTCTCTAAAGTTGAGATGAGGCGAAGAACCTCTAAAGCTGCTTTGAGCTTGGGTTTGCGCTAACCCCGTTGAACTGCTCGACTGACTAACAACTACAAAGTCAATAGAGTCACTCAACTCTTGAGACGAAGTACTCTCTACTCGATAGAGGTGTCTATTCATGGTCTTCACGAAGCGCTTTACTACTTCACCTGCCTCCATCTGGGTCAGGGGTGTGTCCTGAAGTGCACGTCGAATGAGGTCCTGGGCCTTAAGGGGCGCTGACTGCACGCGGGGCATCTCTTCGACAAAAGCGCAGCAGTCCAAACACCAGATCTTATGAACGCCCTTGGTTGAACCTCTGTTGTCTGTGCGCTTGTGAGGACAAGTTGCCGCAGGCGGATCTGGCTTGCCGCCTTGGCACGGTCCTCGGGGATCCGGCTTTAGGTTGGAAAGCTTTGACTTGTTAGTCTTTCCACCAACACCATTCGCAGTGATCCATGCTCGGACAGGCTCTAAGTCCTGAGCGTCGTAATCGGAAAGAGGAAACTCCCTTCTTTCAGCTCGGCCTGCCCACGTGGAAACACGAAGTGCTTGTTACACCACACAAGGGGCTTTTCTCCTGACTCCCCACATAAAGTAGTCTGGATGTTTTAGAACAACATCCCAAAACGTAGAACCTCTATGCACTCCGAACCCAAAAACGGTGTCCGAACCCTTCAGGCGGCGCATCCAACAACTCGAACGACCCATTCGCTTCTTCAAGCTCTTCTTCGTCCTCCACGAAGTCTTCAGGAGTAAAGATCATGGTCGTCGTCCGCCAGAAACGTCTGAGGCCGCAGCAGTACCTCGGCTTCTTCGCTTTCCAAGAAACGAGGTCTGCACGGACGCGTCTTTGGTCAAGATCGCGGAGAAATGCGCAGCTCTATCCTTGGTGCCACCATGGGTTATGCTGCCTCCTGAGGACGGCTTACGCTGGCAGTCACGGTCACCTGCCCAGTGTCCTTTCTTTCCGGCCGTGCCCAAGGCCAGAAACTTGGAACGCAGAGCGGTCGCGGAATCCGGGGTCAGAAGGTGCAGACCCGTAGTCGCCCCGCTGCCCGCAAGCAGCTCGCTCACATGTGTGAAGAAGTCGCTGGGCATCGCGTCGAAGAATGCAGCCAACACAAAAGGAAAGCTGTCCACGGATAGAGGATGCATCAAAGGCGAGAGTTTCTCTGGCAGGTTCTGCTGGGCGGCGACCGGCCCTCGCGCAGCGGGAAGTCGGCCTGCTCCCGCGGCTGCAGCCAGCTTGACGCGCAGCGCAGCGGCTACCCCGGGCGCGAGGTCCAAATCATCCACAGGCGCCAGCGCCCGACGAAGGAAATCTTGAAGTACTGCACAGAAGCGGGTCTCCGAAGTCTCCCGGTAGGCGACGACGGCGAAAGGAAACACGGCCGGCGGCAGCGGCCACATCAGCGAAGCCAAGTCGTCCATCAGCGGGCGGCCAGGGGCAGATGAAAAGAATGCAGTCGCCTCCTAAGACAGAGCCCGAGACCTGTGAGCGAGCACGCAGCACGTGAATGACAAGCGGAAGAACAGCTCGCAGCCTCTCAGCAGAGCAGCAGAGCCATGCAATCATGCCAAAGGCAAGATCAGCAAGCACGTTGGTGATCGAAAAGCAAAGCGCAACAGGCCGCATTTCGGTGCAGTCAAGCAGTCATGGCAAGATCGGAAGGCACCGCTGTTCGCAGTGAAACTCCAGAACCGGAATGCAGCCAGCAGGCACCCGAGGCAGTAACCCCAGAGCCACCGATGTTACTTTTAGGCGCGCTCGGGCGCATCAAGATGGCAAGCTAAAAGAAGCACGACAGCCGTGCATTGGACACTGACCACCATGCAGCAACAGTCTACAACAGGGCGAAGAGTCAGGGCCCTACACATGCATATTAGCAACATTACCCAACTAACTGCTACTGAGTGGGGCAGTAGTCGAGCTTTGCGCTGGACGCGCCTGTGACGTTACGCAGCAGGCTCAGCAGCCACGAACTTGCCGAGGTTCTCCAAGATGACGGCACACTCCGTACGCGTGCTGGGAACGAGGAACTCGGGCGTTGGCGCGGTCTTTGGTTTGGAAGTCAGCAACTGATCCAGCTGGTGTCCTTTCAGAGCCTGAACCTGCAAGCCGAGCACCTGCAAAATGTTCACGTAGTCCGGGTAAAGAGCGTCGGCATCTACGAGGGCACGGCGTATGAAGTAGAACGAGCGAGGTCCCGAGGCGTCAGTCGACAAATAGAAATTGCCCAGACGGGTGCAGCACAGGAGCGCACCCACACGGCACATGTGATCGTCCCAGGTCTCTCTCGGAACTGCATTATCTTCCAGGATGCGCTTAAACTCGCGGTCGGCGCGAAGTGCGGACCCGGTCACCCAGGCACTGGGGAAGCGCAGCACAATAGCAAGGAGGCTGCGCAGCATGGTGCGCACAGGCAATGCCAGCCGGCAGAGTTCCTCAAAGGAGGCTGCCGCCAGGCTGTGGCCTTTCGGCCCTCAATGCTCAAACCAGTGAAACTTGGCCTAAAGCCGTGGGCATGCTTTCCCATCGGCTTCCATTTGCCCTTGGCTTTCGAACCGGCAAAGAAAGCGCAAACCTCAGCCTGACAAGCTGAAGCAAGGAAAGCAATGCATTCATCGTCATCCAAACTGAAGTCCGGCGCCGAAAGGAAGGCTTCCACTACATCCAGCTCGACACTCTCTGCTGTTGCATCTACCAGAGTCCGCCACAAAGGCAGTGTAGTCGTGTTCGTCAGGCACTAGCTCTTTCTTGTCTGCTTCGGGATCCCAGAAGGATTCCCCCGCATCATAAGAACCGAAAAGGTCTTCCGGCAAGTGAGGCTGTGAGCGCACCTTTCCCTTTCCAGAGCTCTTCGCTCCTTTGTAGGCCGCTGGTCCGTTACGACGGTAGTGTAACTTACCATGCTGTGTAACCAGGGCCTTCTCCATGGCCTCGAACGAAGGTGTCTGTCCCACAGCTGTAAGGACCATTAGTCGCTCTTTGCGATCTAACCCAGAGTTGTCCAACAGAAGGTCACCAAGAATGGTATCTGAGATCTCGACCGTCTTGTCTAGCTCTTTCAGCTTCCGATACCATCCTTTTCTCCTTCCCACATAGGAGTTCATTGACTCTCCTGCTTGCCGGGCCATAACTCCACCAACACTGGCGCCGACACGGCACAGCTCCTTTGCTTCCTGAGCCTGCAGTGGAAAAATCATCTTTCGAACGGCATCCGCTATCATCGTGATCGCGTCTGCACTCTTCAGGACTTCGTGCCCTAAGTCTTGGGCTACGATGTAAGCGTCTCCCCGAAGGGATTCCAGCAAACAAGCACCAAGCATAAACCTTTCATCTGCTTTCGTTGCGTGGTACTTGGCCATCGCACGAAACTCCCATTCATTCGAAACGGATCCACTATACACCAAGAAACCTGACTTAGTAAGCTCAGGCTCTTGGTTGTTTCGAATCGAAGGTTGCCCGCTGGCGGCTATCTCCTAAGGCGAACGAAGAAAGTAAAACGAGCGCTGTCCCAGGATGGGCACTGGCTCCGCTACCAGTGTGAAAACTGGCTGATTTCCCGTCTGAGCCTTGGCTCCAAAAAGGGGCCCCTGCGGTGAGTCGGTGCAGTCGATTGAAGTCAACACGCAGACTTAGACTGTACACAAGTACTGGTGTTTTACCACGCGCTGGTCTACGAGCACTATTTCACAGGCATCTATTCTGCAGAGGGCAAATACAGCATTCGTGTGTCCTTCAAGCGTGACTTGGCAAGTCTTGGTACTAAGATCCCAAACTTTGATTGTGTTGTCGCCGCCAGCTGAGGCCAAGGTGTTGGCATCTATTCCAAGCACGAAATTCGTGTGTCCCTCAAGCATGACTTGGCAGGTCTTGGACCTACGATCCCACACTTTGATTGCGTTGTCGCGACCTCCAGAGGCCATTCGCATCTAGTCTGCGGAGGGCATACTTACTGAGCTTTGTCCTACAAGGGTGAGTTCTTGGCGGCGCCATCACCAGCTGGCTGAGACCAAAAATTTGGCAGACCATCTGCGGAAGGCACTGGCGTTGTCTGCGTGCACTTCGAGGGGGACTTTGCAAGTCTCGGCTTGTTAGGTTCCACACCTTGGGTGTCCTCAACCCTAAACCCTAAACCCTAAACCCTAAACCCTAAACCCTAAACCCTAAGCCCGAAACCCTAAACCCTTGAGCCGACCTCAAGCCTCGGCCTCGGGATCTAAAAAAGCACCTTGCACTACGCGCCAGCCCCCTGAGTGCCAGACACGAATGCCAGCTGAGCCTCTGCCGCTTGCGCGCGAGAAGGTACATGGGAATGGCAGCTGAGACCTGGAGACTAGCCTCGAGGCTTCCTGAGAGAGGAGAGGTAGCCTTCGGCCTTAGCGTACAGCTTCGAGCTGGAAGTTGGGCAGCGCTCCCCCAGCGCTCCCATCTAGACACGGTTGAGGGTTGAGGGTTGAGGGTTGAGGGTTGAGGGTTGAAGGTTGAGGGTTGAGGGTTGAGGGTTGAGGGTTGAGGGTTGAGGGTTGAGGGTTGAGGGTTGAGGGTTGAGGGTTGAGGGTTGAGGGTTGAGGGTTGAGGGTTGAGGGTTGAGGGTTGAGGGATGCAACACATTCAAACAACAACGACGCAGGAAAGCGACGTGAAGCCTGGCCGAGTGGCAATGAGGCAGTCACGGCGCCCAGGGAGATGCAGAAGAGCGGCCGGACCACACTTTGATTGTGGTGGCGTCGCTAGCTGAGGCCAAGGTGTTGGTATTTGTTCTGCAGAGGGCGCTTACAGTATTCGTGTGTCCTGAAAGCGTGACTTGGCAAGTCTTGGTGCTAAGATCCCACACTTTGATTGTGTTGTCGTGACTTCCTGAGGCCAAGGTGTTCGCATCTATTCTGCAGAGAGCTGTTGCAGAATCGTTGTGGCCGGCCAGGTCGCTGTTCTGCATCGGGAGGGGAGGGGGGGTGCGGGGGGGGGGGGGGGGGGTTTTCCGCATTTTTCGGTCGCACCGCGCCGATTTTTTTGAGGGAACACAACCGTGAAAAGCAAACTTGGACGGCAATTGAACGAAATGGAGGGACACGGCAACACTGTGACCACAAGGCACTGCACGGATCTGCTTAAAGAGTTGTAACATCGTGTTCTGACCCTGTGAAAGGCTTCCGCTTCTCCGCTTCTCCGCCTTCAACTGTGCAACTGCCAACCCCCAACGCAAGGAACTCCAGAACTGCAGAGAACAGGTGGCCGCCTTTGGTGCCTTGCGCCTCACTGCCACATCCGTAGCCAGGGCCTCTGATGCACTTCGCATCTTGCGCGTCCCTCACGGCTAAGTGGAATGGACCTGCATCTGTTCTAATCAGGTACCTAAGCACCCGTTCTCGCACCTGCGCTGCGGCCTGTGGGCGGGGGAGGCGGCCGAGCGGCCGCCGCCGTGCGCCATGGCGGTGGAGCGGCACCTGGACCAAAGAAAACTCAGAAACTCAGATGTGTTGGCTCTCATATCGATACTGCCATATATTTGTACCTAAAGCTCTACTGTATGCTATCAATCCCCCCTGCCTCCAGCGACCTCCGTTTACCCTCTTGAGAATTGCGCGCACGTTTTCAATCCCTGCCTGCGGACCCATTCCCAGCAGCTGCTGCCATCATGGCCATCATGGGATTGAGCCTGCAAAGAATCGCCCTCAAGGTACGAAGAAGAGCACGCCGTGACCCTGTCTAAGCTCGACTGAGGCCAGTGCGGCATACCCACACCTGGCCTCAGCTTGATCAAGTGCAGGAGTGGTGTTAAAAAAAGATTCGGTGCAATCCTCTCTGTGCTCCCCACCAGTGTCCTGCATTTTGCTTTGGAGAGCCATCATCGTCGTCATCATCCTGGTCAGGCAGTGCAAGTTTGGCAGGGTTCGTACGTCCGGCAATATCCCACAGCACAGGCTCTGAGAGCCAGGCATCGTCCCGTCTTCTTCTTCTTCCTGGATTGCACACCTGGGCATCCCAGGTCTACCGCCCTATATGACTTTTCACGGCTGATTGCCACAGCAATGAAGCCGAAAAGGCCCAAATGGAGCCTCATAAACAGCAGCTCAAATTTGCAGACCCCAAAACCCAGGCCTGCTCAAAGGCGTCCATGGAGGCTTGACGCTTTTTCTCCCGGTCCTACAGGGTTCCAAGCGTCTCAAAGAGGATCTATGGCACTCCAAGAGCCGCCTAAGCCCTGTCCTCCTCGGCTTCCTTCCTCCTGGAATCCTCCTTCCTCCTGTCCTGGTACGATTTGAAACTTTAGGGTTTGTCCAGGCCGGAGTTCTACTCAATCCGCAGTCCAAGATGCGCAATGCCTTTTGAAGGCATCCAGCCTTATGGAGAGTGTGCTGCGCAACGTTGCGCAACCGCAGGCCTTCTCTCGCTCCTTCTCCTTCTCCCGCTCGCGCTCCTTCTC